TCGGATCCGCGCTGGACCCCGCCCCCCCGCGGCGCCTGCGGCGCCGCCCCTGGCGCGCCTCCTCCTCCTCCTCCTCCTCCTCCTCCTCCTCCTCCTCCTCCTCCTCCTCCTCCTCCTCCTCCTCCTCCTCCTCCTCCTTCCCCTCAGGGGTGGTCCAGCGCCGAAGCGAGGAATCCCCGCGGAGCCTCCAGTTTCTGCGCTCGTGGCAGCCGTCGTCGCCCTGGGCGCTCCTCGGCGGGGGCCGGGCGAGGGTCGGTCCTCTGCGCCAGCAGGGAGCCAGGGCGAGGCGGACGCCGGGTGGCCCGCGAGGCAGGCGCGCGGGAGGCGGCAGCGGCGGCCCGCGTGCTCGGCGGTCTGGATCCCCCCCTCTGCGCCTCGAGAGCGCCTCTCGGAGGAGGACGAGGAGGAGGAGGAGGAGGAGGAGGAGGACGAGGAGGAGGAGGAGGAGGAGGAGGAGGAGGAGGACGACGAGGAGGAGGAGGAGGAGGAGGAGGACGACGAGGAGGACGCCGACTAGGAGGAGGAGGAGGACGACGACGAGGAGGAGGAGGAGGAGGACGACGATTAGGAGGACGACGAGGAGGAGGAGGAGGAGGACGACGAGGACGCCGACGACGACCAGGAGGAGGAGCAGGACGGAGGGGAGCCGGATCCGCGGCTTTGGATTCCCCCCCTCCGCGCCTCGAGAGCGCAGGGCGCCGAAGGTCCCTCCGGGGCGAAGGGTCGTTGTGCGCAGGCGATGCCCACGCAGCAGGCCCAGGCCAAGAGTAGGTCGAGCACGTCCCCTTGCATGAGGAACATCCCGAAATAGTCAAAACATCGTCTGGGGGCGATATCTTGACTCTTTTCACCAATTTCCTCTACAGGATGAGTCTTCAAACTTTGAAGCAAAAATCGTCTGGTGAGGATGTCTTGACTCTTTCGACCATTTTTGAGTATTTTGCGTTTTTCGACTTTTATGTTTCGTTCAAAATCCGCCTGTAGGAGAACATGCCCGGGCTAAGGCCAAGATCGCCAGGACGACGGGACGTCGGTGGGCGTGGGCAGCGGAGATGTTGCCAGGGAGCGAAACAAAAAGCGGCAGCCCCAGAGCGGAGGCACGCAGGCGCGGCCGCATCGTCGGAAATAGCGTCTGTTTGCCACTTGCTGCCTGTGACAGCTCGCTCACAGCGAGCGCTGGCGACACGAGCTCAGCGTACCCGCCCTCCTCCCACTTCGGGCTCCCCAGGGGTGTTTCGGAGGTGCGCCCGCAGTGCAGCTCTTCGTCACGAGTCGTTTTTCCCCACATGTTTCGTGGGGCTCTGGTTTTCTTCCCTGCCGCGGCGCACCCGCGTCTCACCTCACCTCACACCTCATCTCCTCTCTCCTCCTTCCTCTCCTCACCCGCGCTCAACGCGTGCACGGCAAGGGGTTGCGCAGTGGGTGGTCTCCCTATGCGTGCCAGGGTCGTCCAGGCATTGCAGGCGTGGCATTTTCTCGACACCAGAGGGGGTGCGCAGGGGGTAACCTCCCTATGCGTGCCAGGGTCGTCCAGGCATTGCAGGCGTGGCATTTTCTCGACACCAGAGGGGGTGCGCAGGGGGTGGTCTCCCTATGCGTGCCAGGGTCGTCCAGGCATTGCAGGCGTGGCATTTTCTCGACACCAGAGGGGGTGCGCGTCTCCCTATGCGTGCAGGGTCGTCCAGGCATTGCAGGCGTGGCATTTTCTCGACACCAGAGGGGGTGCGCAGGGGGTGGTCTCCCTATGCGTGCCAGGGTCGTCCAGGCATAGCAGGCGTGGCATTTTCTCGACACCAGAGGGGGTGCGCAGGGGGTGGTCTCCCTATGCGTGCCAGGGTCGTCCAGGCATTGCAGGCGTGGCATTTTCTCGACACCAGAGGGGGTGCGCAGGGGGTGGTCTCCCTATGCGTGCCAGGGTCGTCCAGGCATAGCAGGCGTGGCATTTTCTCGACACCAGAGGGGGTGCGCAGGGGGTGGTCTCCCTATGCGTGCCAGGGTCGTCCAGGCATTGCAGGCGTGGCATTTTCTCGACACCAGAGGGGGTGCGCAGGGGGTGGTCTCCCTATGCGTGCCAGGGTCGTCCAGGCATAGCAGGCGTGGCATTTTCTCGACACCAGAGGGGGTGCGCAGGGGGTGGTCTCCCTATGCGTGCCAGGGTCGTCCAGGCATAGCAGGCGTGGCATTTTCTCGACACCAGAGGGGGTGCGCAGGGGGTGGTCTCCCTATGCGTGCCAGGGTCGTCCAGGCCAGGCGTGGCATCGACACCAGAGGGGTGCGCAGCCAGGGTCGTCCAGGCATTGCAGGCGTGGCAGTTTCTCGACACCAGAGGGGGTGCGCAGGGGGTGGTCTCCCTATGCGTGCCAGGGTCGTCCAGGCATTGCAGGCGTGGCATTTTCTCGACACCAGAGGGGGTGCGCAGGGGGTGGTCTCCCTATGCGTGCCAGGGTCGTCCAGGCATAGCCTCTAGTGCGGGATTGCGTATTACCTCTCGTATCCAAGTGCCAGGCGACGCCGGATATGACCGTCACAGATGACTCCTC